CCAATGATCTGATTATGGAGTGCTTCTGTATTCAAAGTCCTAGGGTAATTCACTGTAATGTTCTTTTTGTTTCAGGTGTGGGACCTTTATACTTTGCAGGAAGTTCTGACACTTAATGGGCATTCTGGTGTGGTGATGTCTCTTCTTTGTTGGGATCAGTTTTTGCTCTCATGCTCATTGGACGATACAATAAAGGTGTGGGCTGCCACTGAAGGAGGCGGTTTGGAAGTGACCTACACTCACAATGAAGAGCACGGTGTTCTTGATCTCGCCGGTATGACAGACCCAGAAAGCAAGCCAATCTTGCTTTCCTCTTGCAATGATAATTCTGTCCGCGTATATGAACTGCCGTCATTCGCTGAAAGAGGCAGATTATTTGCAAAACAAGAAGTTCGGACGGTGGAGGTAGGACCTGGAGGACTATTCTTCAGTGGGGATGCAACTGGTCTCCTTTCTGTTTGGAAGTGGATGGATCCTCCTGCCGCAGTCAAAGTGGAGTCTTCATGAGTTACATTACTGCAACCAGTTCCGTGAATATTTTTTTGTCCTTCAGCTTGCAAGAGCCATTGCTATGGTGGCCGTGAAGCATCAATGAACAAATGTAGCAATCCTGTATCTAAAGCCAGTCAGCTATTCAAATTAGTTGTGTTCATTTCTTTAGGGATCAATTTTTAATACATGATCCCTCTGTGATGTTTGTTCTTACACTGCCAATGTACAGTGACATTTTTCAATCTGAAAAATGATTCGTTATTGAGAATTTAAATTCATTATACATGCATTTCTTTGGTTTTGAACATTGTCATCAGAGTGGTGTCTGTTTCCATAAATTTTGAATTTACTTACCCCTTCCAGTCTGTCATTCGAGGGATTCGAACATAATCTAAGATTGGTGGCTATTTTCATAAAAGAAATCCGATCTATTTTCGGTCAATAAGAACTTTCATTAAAGGAGGTAAAAGAAATCCAATCTGAGATAGCTGCCACGCTTGGCACTTGCACGTAGGAGGCGAGACCAGAATTAAGGGATTCAAATTTAGGACCTCATTTAACGAAGTGAACATATGGTTAGACATAGACTATTACCAAAACAATAAATGAAAATTAAGGGTCCATTTGAATTTGACAACCAATATACAGAGATAAAATCTATGAAATGCAAAGAACATCTTGTAATGTTATCTAAGGGCTCGTTTGAGAGTGCTTTTGAGTAGCGAAAAGCGCTTCTGTCTTTTAAAAATGGTGTTTGGTGTTTTTGTCTCTATATCTTAGTTTTTTTTTTTTTTTTTTAAAGTTAGGAAGAGGAGCATTACTTGTATCCGAATAAGCCTTTTAACTCCTTAAGTTTAAATATTTTTATTTTATTAAACACTAGCATGCTGATTCAATATATTTTTACTTTATGATTTTCCAGAGGCATGGGTGAAAATGTTTTAGTAACATAATTTCCAACAAAGAATTTGCTTTTGATAAAAAGTAAGTTAGGTTTTTTTTTGTCCGAAAGCGAGTTTGGTTTAAAAATAAATAAAGACAAAACGACAAAAATAGATTAGATCTAACGGTCAGGAATAGTTGCTTCATATCGGACGGTCACGATCAGTTCTACGATCACCGCGTCTAACGAACGCAATACTTCTTTCCTGGCGCCAGTTGGAAAGTCTCCAGCCTACGCTAACTATATATACACGCATAGAAGATCAACTTCAGGCCAGTGTGATCAAAGTTTCGCTTACAATCGCAACGAAAGCAAAAGGCATTTTCTTTCTTACAATTAGGGTTTGAATCGCAACGAAAGCAAAAGGCATTTTCTTTCTTTCTCCGTGATCGTTTTCTTTCTCTTTGATCGTTCGTCCATTTGGATTGACTGTGCTTCGAAATCAGTCCAGGCGATAATCGAATAGCTTCAAAGCTCAAAGCTCTCGGCCAATCGAATCGATCAGGTTTGCTTCTTCTCTTCACGCGTCTCTGCAATCGCATTGTTCCTTCTAGGGTTTTGTTCGTTTTCGACCGTTAATTGATACCCAAGAGGCTATTTTTTTCGCCGAACGCTTATTTCTTGAGGATAATGGTTTTTGGTTATGGGTTTGATACTCGCTCAAGCTGGATATCTAGGGTTTCGATTTTAGGGTTACTTTTATTGTTGTTTAGGATACGCCTTGGGATCGGCGACTGGCTAGTTTGAAAAGTTTTCGAATTGATTTAAAGGATTTGAAGAATCCGCCCTCGCTAGTTTCTCGATTCTTATAGGGTGATCGTACGTCGATTTGGATTTCAAGGCTTATCGGGTTTCATATATTTTTGGGGTTTTCTGAAGATCGATGAAATATTGAAATTCTGTTTGAGGGGGTAATCTTCGAAGCTGTGTCTCTGCGATTTCTTATTGTTTTCTAAATTTGTGTTTATAGTATGGCCACTAAGGTAGTGAGGAGGCACACCAATAGACCAGAAAGATCAGTGTATGCTCGACCGGCAGGAGGACCTTCAAAAACTGTTTGCACCTTTTGGGCTGCTGGAAGGTGCACAAGGGAATTCTGTCGTTTCCTGCACGCGGATGCACTGCCTTCATCCATGAACCCTCAAATTTCGAAGAAGTCGTCTCTTGTTTGGACGAATGACGGAACTGCCACCGGAAAGGGCAATGCATGCAATGCTAATCAGAAAAGCAATGCTCCTCAGAAAATCAATGCTCCTCAAGAAAGCAATGCTGCTCAGACTCAGAAAAGCAACGCTCCTCAGAAAATCAATGCTCCTCACGAAAGCAATGCTCCTCAGAAAAGCAATCGTACTCTGAAAAATGTCTGTAAGTTCTGGGTAGATGGAAATTGTGTGAAAGGTGATCGATGCCTGTATTTGCATAACTGGTTCCGTGGTGAGGGGTTCTCCATATTGGCAAAGCTCCAAGGGCACACGAAGGTATTTGTAATTTTCGAAATATGTTTTCTTTTTTAATTTGTTCTGTTCCTCTTTATTTCCGAGTTTGGACAATCATAATAATTGTGAAATTTATGTTAACAGGCTGTCACTGGTATTGCCCTTCCTGAACGAACTAACAAGCTTTATTCAACCAGTAAAGATGGAACAGCCAGAGTTTGGGACTGCCATACTGGTGAATGTGGCAGTGTGATTGATCTTGGTGGTGAAGCAGGTTCTTTAATTAGTGAGGGCCCATGGGTTTTTGCTGGTGTACCAAATCTTGTTAAGGTATTTCATTGTTGTAACTGGAGCACTTATTTTTAGTAGCTTGGTTGGTTCAACTTCAATATGTATGCTGATTGTGCTTGATGTTGCAGGTTTGGAATACTGAGACAAATTCTGAATTCAACCTGGATGGACCTGTTGGCCAAGTACATGCTATGGTGGTTGGTAATGAAATGCTTTTCGCCGGGACACAGGTAAAGAGCCTAACAATTCTGCAGCTTTCCTAATTATTGCGTAGCTGGGATTTTAGGATATATGTTCCTCCTTTTATTCATAGTACACCATTTTCAATTGATTTATCTGTTTCTTTTAATATTGCAGAATGGTGATATATGTGTGTGGAAAGGTAGCACTGAAACTAATCCGCCATTTTATCCTGCTGCAACTCTGAAGGGCCACACTGGTGCTGTGGTATGTTTAACTGTTGGGCGCAACAGACTTTACTCGGGTTCTGTGGACCATACAATTAAGGTAAGTTTGTGGCATCTACAAACAAGTTTTGTCAGCTTCTACTATATGTCCTCTCCTTTATTTACAAGAGAGAGAGCAAAATGTTTTATTCCAATAATCTGATTATGTAGTGCTTCTGTATTCAAATTCCTCGTGTAATTTACTGTAATGTTCTTTTTGTTTCAGGTGTGGGACCTTTATACTTTGCAGGGTGTTCTGACACTAAATGGGCATTCTGGTGCGGTGATGTCTCTTCTTTGCTGGGATCAGTTCTTGCTCTCATGCTCCCTGGACGACACGATAAAGGTGTGGGCTGCCACTGAAGGAGGTGGTTTGGAAGTGACCTACACTCACAACGAAGAGCAGGGTGTTCTTGATCTTGCCGGAATGACAGATGCAGAAAGCAAGCCAATCTTGCTTTCTTCTTGCAATGATAATTCTGTCCGCATATATGAACTGCCATCATTCACTGAAAGAGGCAGATTATTTGCAAAACAAGAAGTTCGGACGGTGGAGGTAGGACCTGGAGGACTATTCTTCAGTGGGGATGCAACTGGTCTCCTTTCTGTTTGGAAGTGGATGGATCCTCCTGCCGTCAAAGTGGAGGAGTCTTCATGAGTTACTTTACTCCATCTAGTTCCGTGAATATTTTAGACAAGAACATTTCCTTCAGTTCGCATGAGCCATTGCTATGGTGGCCGTGAAGGCATCAATGAACAATTGTAGCAATCCTGTATCTAAATTTTTGACAGCCAGTCAGTTATTCAGATTTGTTTTGTTCATTTATGTAGGGATCAATTTTTAATACATGATCTCTAGGATGCTTGTTCGTACACTGTAATGTACAGTGAAATTTTTCAATCAGAAAAATGATTCGTTATTGAGAATTTAAATTCATGATAAATGCAAAATTCTTTGGATTTGAACTTTGTCTTCATAATGGTCTCTGTTTATATAAGTTTTGAATTTACATTGTGGATTATCAAATGTATGAGAGCTCGAGCAGAATTAATGTATAAAAGAAATCAATATTTTTGCTCATCACTATAACCTAAGGTATACTCAATATTTGACATGCGTCCATGATGGGCTTAACCGGTTAAGCTCATGGAGTGAGAGTGGTGGGCAAAAATATTCTCATAAAAGAAATCCAATCTAACGAAGTGAAAATATGGTTAGACATAGACTACTACCAAAATAATATATAAAAATGAAGGGTCCATTTGAATTTGACAACCTTATACAGAGATAAAATTTATCAAATGCAAAGAACATCATTTTGGCAATTGAAACGTAAGATGCATCTTTCAACTTCATCGTCAACCAGACAAACCATATACAATGGGTCTACAAATTACAAAACAGCTTGTACTAACAAACAGCTACCTCAGACTCAAAGATTTAACCCATCCACGTGAAGACAAAATAATCAAATAAAAGGTATACCACCACTGGGCGTAAATTCATATTTATACAAGTTTGTCTTGTACAAGCTCGTTGCGTTGTTCAAATGGGAGAACATACAATAGGAAATTATATCATCTTCCCACAAAATAGAAACAAAATAGGCTCGCAACATTTCAAGCGTAGGTCATCACCTCCACCTCCATATGAGATACACAACAATGACAACAGTCAGAATCATGCCTGCATACTTGATCGACTGATCAACACGGTTCCGCCTCTCAATGAGCTTCAAAACAGAGTTAGAGAGACCCACTGTGTTCAGGACATCCAATCCTTTTCGTTGTGCGCTCTGAAACAAGTCAACAGAGAATTCACCATTATTTTAACAAGCATTAGTAGCAACAAACATGTAATACATCACTAACTGTTATGTATCAAAGCTCTTGGCCTTTTCAATTTCCTTTTTCTTTTTACCCATGTTGAGTTCAATTTCCTATGACTTGGAAGACTAAAATCCAATGGAAGAAATTATATATGTTTCTTAGATCTTGTTCAATTCTATTATGAGGCAATCATGGTTTCCAGCCTTCATCAATACAGCAAAGTGCCCGAGGTGAGTGAGCTAAGCCTCTGAAATTCTCTTGGTATATCAAAGTATTGTTGAGTTCTTTTTCAAATTTATTTTGAGGCAATTGAGTATTCCAATTATCATCAATGTATCAAAGTGCTCAAGTTCAGGGAGTTAAGCCACCTGAGGTCTCTTGGTTACAATTCATCATATATTTAATCCTATAACTAGGGAAGTGCTATATCAAAGTATTTTCTCTGTATGCATGGGTGGTGAGATTATCACACTTAGTCAGCTAGTTTTCAAATCATTCAGTATGAATCATATCAGACTGTGTTTCAAGTAGAACTTAGTTGCAGGGTATTTATGATAGTTGTTGACTGATAGACTTCTGTCATGCATTGAGTGATTAAAAATATTGGTTTCAGTTATCCTAATTTGATCATTGTTTTAGTTCCCTATTCTCTACTTCCTCGCTAATTCTATCTCTTGTCCTGCATCACATATACTCATCTAAAAGAATTGTCCTTGCTAATGAATCATATCCTGCCGTTTGACTGTTGAAAATTAATTAAAATCTCAAATGCCAACTCAATCAATTTTCTAACAGTACACAGCTGTCCTATCATAGTAATTAGAATTTTCTATAAAACCAGAGTATCTACTCATTGTGCACAATTTTAAAGAAGAGCTACCATTAACTGTAAGCTTATTAATGAATGTTTTAACTATATTCAAGAGACAAATTGCAATTTCACTATCGTTTTTCTTTCAAATAATTGGTGCAAAGTGAGGTGCATAACAGTGAGCACAAATATGAGTGATACCTTTAGCCAATCCCTTTGTTCTGCATATTTCCTAAGAATACTTTCTCCAGTAGCACTGGCTTCTTCAAGCATGCGAGAAGAACTACGAACTGACGCCCTTGCTTGTGCTTCATCATCAAAAATTCTCAAAACATGAGCACCCTCCCCATTCTACATCATAAGACAAAGGCATATTAAACAAAGGCATACATGAGAATGATTTAGTAAACAAAAAGTAAAAGGGTTGGGAGTTGCATACAGCTCTTCCAAGCAACTCTGCCCTCTCTCTGGCTTCTTGGGCCCTCTTCTGATTCCTCAAATTATACTTATCTAGACTTTCTTTCAAAGACTGAGCCTCTTCCGCTATTTGTTCTACTTTTCTGCGTAACAAGAAGCAAAATAGGATCCAGTTAAAGAAGCCCAATTACAATTACAACCACAATATACAAAAATGATATATATAAAAACCACCTCAATGCTCAAGGAATTGATGATGAAAAAAAAACACTATTCCTATTACAATTACAATATACAAAAATGACAAAAACCCAACTCAAGGCTCAAGGAATTCATGAACAAAAAAACCAAATCGAACTACAATTAAATGCAAAAGACAAAAACCCAAATCAAGGTTCAAGGGATCAATGAAAGAAAACCAACCTTTTCCAGAGATCGCGTTGGGATTTGGCGCCAACAGATCGCCAGAGGCGGTCCATGTCGGCGCAGAAGGACTGAATCTGAGAAATGTCTCTTTTGACGGACGTGGAAAGGTCCGGGGAGTCGATGCCGCCTGCGTTCTCCAATCTCTCCAGCTTCTCAAGGCCGTCTCTTGTTCTCAACAATAGCTTCTTGGCGCTCTGATATATCTCCGATAACGTCCCTCCTCCGATTTCCACCGACATTGCCATTACAATTGCAATTCCGATTGGTGACGTTTCTCTCTTTCTTTCTCTCTTTCTGGGTTTCACCGCAGAATTGAATTGAATTGAATTGAATTTCGATTGATTTTGGTCACCACAGCACAGGTAGGTACCTTAATTCAGGGGTTTATGTATGAGAGACCCGAAGAAGAAACGAAGAAACAGAGAGAAGACAATGGAGGCTAAAGGCCCAAACTAACAACAAATCACTCTAGCTAAAATTCTAGCCCAGTTTATCAAGCGTAGATAGACCCAAATCTAAGCACAAAATGAAAATGGCAAGCCCATTTGTAGTGAGGCTACATCACCCCTTAATCCTCAATTCCTGCTCTGCTCTGCTCTTAGAAAATTGGCCAACTGTAGGACATAAAATAAAGTCCATAATTCAGCAGTGTATATCGTTTTTTATATTTATTTAATAAATGAGGATTTTTTTGTTATATTGGAGAAAAGAAACCCTATTGGGTTCGATCCTCTGGGTGTCATGGGGGAGGAGGAATCCACCGCCACTATGATGGAAACTCATTAGTAATACATGTGGAGTGCATAATGACTAATTTGGAGTGTAAATAACAGTTCTTTTTAAAAATACATATTTTATTAAATAAGTAGACAACTAGACATTTAGAATAAACCCCATTGAATTTAAAATTGAAGGAAAAAAAAACAGGGAAGTTATAAAAATGGGGTGATAGTCCATTATTTTTTTATAAAAAAAAAAAAATCAATTCTATAAAACTAGGGGAACTTTTCTATTTTTTATCTATAAGTAATGTGAATTCAAACTTAGATATAGAAGTGTCAAATGGGCTGGATCGGTCCAGCACAACACGAACTTAGCCCATTTAAATGGACTTTGATTTGGTGGCCAATAAATAAATACTACAACAAATCCTCAATTTTTAGTCCCATATTAAATATAAGAAAGATATGAACATGTTATTTTTTTTTTTTTTTGTATAAATTTAATATGCTAACGTGATTTTTTTGTTTAAAGAAATTCAAGGGAAAAAAAATAATTAAAGTTAAATAGGCCAAGCACAGCACGAACACAGCCCAGTTGATATTTTGCGCTAATAAAAATCTCAATGTTGATTTGCTCAAAAAACAAAAAAAAATAATCTCAAAGTTGATATTGTAATTTGGTTGGTTTCTCCACTAATATCGAGTTTGCTTTTGACCTACAAATTTGTCTTTTTGAACACAAGTTTCACATGGACCTAAAAGTCACCTATCTTACAGTTAATTTGATGATCTTATTTTCATTTTAGTCTATTCATCTGCTTTTAGAGCGTGCTTTTTTTTAAAGTCAAGACAGGTGTAATTGGAAGAGGTAAGAATATTCCTAAGAACATCCATTTTTACTTCCACGGCTTGTGTTTTTCTGGCTTGTCTATGGCTCATGCTCATTCTAGCTTCCTGACCACAATTTTAAATTACGATTTTTTTCTTTTCTTTTTTATCCAGAAATATTAATAAATAAGATTAGTGATGTCATAATATCACTGAAAATATTTTAAAAAAACTGGAAATGAGAATATTCCTAGTGGCTGGCCCATATAAATTATATAATTAAGAAAAATGAACGTGTGAATGCATACGACAGACGAGACAGAAAGTATATGCCACCAAATTGACCTAATTTATATTTTCTGTCCCTAGTAAATTAATGGGCCACGTGGAAGATATGGTATCCTAACAAAAAGATTTGTTCCTATAAAGCCATATAATGACCAGTTTACTTTTAACTTTTATGTGTTACACTTCATATTTATCTCTATATATAAAGCAAAAGGCAGAGAATGGTAAAACATTTAAAATATTAAAAAATACTATTGGTTAATGCAAACATTAAGAATTGAAATTATTAATTAAATGAGGATAATATGATAAATTCACACTTTTTCATATTTTAAAATGAAATATTCAAAATATTAGAAAATGCTATTGATTAATGCAAACATTAAAAATTGAAATTATTAATTAAATGAGGATAATATGATAAATTCACACTTTTTCATATTTTAAAAAAAAAGAACATTAAAAGAAAAATCAGATAATGGATCATATTTTTATGGACTACAATTACCCATTATATTTTTTAATTCTAAAATAAATTTAAAGTTTTTAAAAAAAAGCCTTTCAAAGGTGCGGAAGCGCGTGCGAAGAAGCTAGTATATATATATCACAAGTATGTGGCACGCAATACACAACACGTGGAATTTTCTGGTTTGTTAATCTTTTTTTTAATTTTTTTTATTCGATCGGTAGTCTATTCTAAGGGGAGGGGGAATTATGTTTTAAGGGGAAGGGGGCACCCGCAAGGGGGTTTAAACTGATACTACGGAGTTTGCAAACAAAGACCTCAACCACTAAGATAAATTACCCACTGGCTTAAACTTTTTTTTTTTCCTCTCTGGGTGTGCTTGTATTTTTGGATTGAGAATTTGAACACGAACTTTAAGAAGTGCTAATTTTTGCTGGGATATGATGAGTTAGTTTTGATTGGGTGGAGCGTAATCACACATAATTAATCCAATGCACAAAGTGTATCTCCACTAATAGCCACATAAGGCAAATAAATTTCGGCATAACACAAGCCTAAATTTATTAGTACCAAGTTTTGAAGCTTTCCATCCCAAAGCCTATACTCAGGTCCAACAAGATTGTTATTATTTTTTTCTCCATGTTTAAAGTTATATTTATTTATTGAACAAAAACAAAAGAATGTTTAAATTTAAATTTTACCACACACTCCTTTATCCATGACACTTGGCTAGGGATCATGAGACTTTGAGACCCTCACCTGAAAACTAAGATTTTCTTCGTTATGAGCCACAAATAAAGGTGCATTACTTATGCACAACATGAATAATCCATTTCTGAGTTTAATTTTTTTTCTAAAAATATAAATATCACTAAGCTAACAACTAGTTAATCAGTTTAATTAGTCAGATTCTTTCATTAAAGGGTACAGTAAAAGTTGCGTTTAGTTTGGTGGCAGGTCCTTGTTTCATTCACTGGGCTTCATCATGTAAATCATAATGAATTAAACCCCAAGGAAAAGCTCTCTCTCTCTCTCTCTCTCTCTCTTTTCACTGGATTGTGTTCTTCTTTAAATACTAATCTTTTGCAGTGAAAGTAGGGCAACAAGGTTCATCAGCGGACCCGAGTTCTTTGAACTGACTGTAAGTGCACTCTGTGTGTTTCGTATCCTGCATGCTTTTAAATGCTCAAGCAAGTAGCTCTAAACCTAGCTTCGTTTTCAGTTTTGTTATCTCTCTATCAAACAGTTAACAATCAGATGGCCTTCATCTCTTCTCAGGGTTTTCTTCTTCTTCTTCTTCTTCTAGGCCCCGAGCCTTCATTTCTTCATCTTTCTTTCTTAGTTGAGTTGAGGTTTTGTTTCTTGGAGTTTCCCCCCCCAATAATATCAATGCAAATAAGGAATTCCGTCTTAGTACTTTTAATTACCTTGTTCTGGTATTACTTGATTTTCATTCTTAGTTTTATTTCCGCTAGCAATGGAAACCATATGTGAGACTATATATTTTTGCATATGCATTTCAAGTTAATTAATTTTCCCCGCATATTATATATGTACATATTTTCTCCTATTTGGACATCCAAAATTTCTTAATAGACGCCCTCGTTGTTTCAGTTTTCCTCCACGCTTTCGTCCCTTTCTCAATTTTCCTCCACGCTTCAACGAGTGAGTATACAAAACAAGCTTTAGATATAAGAAATATAGCTACAACAATGGCGTCCATTAAGAGAAAAACTGTATATATATATATATATTATTTATATATTATCTTTTGGTTTATTAGATTTTACCCAAACAAGACAACTTAATCCATTCCAGTTACACAGTACTATTTGTAAGTTGCGCATGCATAGCACCACACGACTGACATCACTTTCAATAATTAAATCCAAACCCACATTAGCCTTTAATCATGTGGGGTGAGCCAGTGCTAAACTATTTACTTATCTTGTTGTAGCCCTCTTATTGAATCTTTACTCTTTAAGTGTCCTCATCATGACCAACTCTTTCCTTTTTTTAATTTATAAACATGAAGTCATTTTCTTTCAATCGCCTATAATATCTCACTTTACACATAATTTATGAGTGTGACTATTGCATTGCCACATTACCATACCAACACATCTGTATTATCAATTATATCGCTTGCTACGTGTAATAGTAACACCACGTTACAGTATACTGTATGTGACCGTCACAATTCAACTTCAAGTATTTGTCATGTGCTATATAGGGGAGCAACTCTCTCAACATTGCCTTCCCATTACCCCAAAAGATTGCGTTGAGTTGAGACTGCATGTTCTATGCCGAACTCACAAACTACAATACTAGATCAAACAAGCATATCTCACATATTCAAATCAAAATCCTAATTTTACTTGATCCAATTTGATTATTTTAATAATTTAAAAATATATATGACGGTGTACGGTGTACGGTGTATATAAAACCAAGTGTACATCTTTGTTGCATTGCTTTTTGGTTTGTTAGCTTTGTTTGCACATAAGTGGCAAAAAATCACGTGTTACGAGGATATATATGGTATTTCCTACCCCTCCTGGAAATTAGCCACAAAAACCAAATTTCGCGCGACATTTGATGACTGATTAAAGTCATGACAGAGTCTCTCTCTTTGAGTTGAGAGACACCGCAAAACACACACAGAAAGAGCAGAGCTCCTTTTTATTTCTTTCTCTGACGTTTGTTTTGTTTGCATTTGTTTTCTTTTTGTTTTTGTTTTTTTAATTAAGAAAAAATTAGAATCCGTTTCCTGGAAGCTTACAAGATTTTTGGAATTCCATTCCCACATACATATTTTCTTGCAAAAAACCCTTCTTTCAAAACAAAACCTCATTTTCAAGTTGTTTCCACCAAACATACCTACCTCGTGTAGAAGATGAACAATACGGTTTCCAGTTTGGATTTGGTAATTCTCTCTTTCTTAAGCTCTTATAAATTCTGGGTTTTTATTTATTTTTATTTCTGCTGTAGGGTGTAGAATTACATTTTGGTTACATGGGATTATGTTTTTGTGTTTGTTCTTTTATTTATTTATTTAAATTAAAACCCTTTGTTGGAAAATTGATGTTCTTTAAAAAATAATAATTTTTTACAGAGCTTCAGAGTTAAAATTTCTGAATTTGGAAGTTTTCCCAGAAGGAACGTGAAGTTGAGAAAATGGGCAAATCAAAGATTTTAATTTGGTTGTTTGAATTAGCAGTGTTTCCCATTTTATTTCCATTTTGACTGTCAGAGTGAAATTTTCTCCAATCTTTCCCTCAGTTTCATCAGGTTTGATATGAGTTGCAAACTAAATGGAAAATTTTATATTATGAGATATTGTCTTTAATTTTTGTAGCCAACGAAGCATATACTTAACATTTAAGAGGAAAGAAAAACTTACCATGAATGTTGATTTCAATTTGCTGCTTTGTCAACTCTGATAAAAAAAGTAGTGCAGAAAACTTATGTTGCTCTAGTATCTGCTGTATGTCTATATGTTTTAATCTTTTATGTGTTGCTGATATTCTTCTTACAGTAGCATTGATTCTGAAAGATGGTTGCCTTCGGGAAGAAGTTAAGAGAATCACAAATTCAAGAATGGCAAGGGTACGTTCGAGTAAGTTTCGAACCAAATATGCTCTCTGCTATGACTTTTAATTTGTTTGTTTCTTTTTCAGATACTATCTTGACTACAAGTTAATGAAGAAGAAGCTCAACCGATATACACAACAAATTGAAGTTGGAACACAAAATCGCCACCTTGTTCTTAAGGACTTCTCAATATTACTAGATAGTGAGGTAACCAGTGTTGCATTATTGGAATTATGTCTTTTATTCACAAGTTTAATGCAGTGTCTGTTATACACCATTATCATGTGCAGACTGATAAATCACCGGTGGGATTTCTAAATTTCATTTTTTAACTTCCATATCATGCCATCTCAATTTGTGATGTTTTCTGAAACTGCAAGTCATGCAATTTTTTATGCTTCTGCTAAATTGTACTACATGGGATGGGAGGTCAATATATCAACGCATCTCATCTAATAATTAAAAAGGGCATGTATGGATGGATGATGCTGAAGTTTTATCATTGTATGTTGTTCATTCTGATTATCTGTTTCAAGAAGGTCCAAATAAAATGTATAGACTTCTCAAGCTTCCTTTTCCCTTGTTTTCTGGTGAGGATCGCCTTCATATTGTTGTATTCATTGAGGTCGGAGCACAGATTTTCGCCAGTAGCTAATACATTTACATTCATGGATACTTTTGGTGTTAAATCATATATTGTAAGAATGATTTTCTTTTCTGTTGTTGTTGTTGACTTCAGATTGAAAAGATTGTCATGTTTCTGCTGCAACAACAAGGAGTTCTTGCAAGCAAGTTATTGAATCTTGGAGAACAGTATGATTCTGTCTTACAGCAAGTAGATGAAGCAAAAATACCTGAACTGCAAGAAGCATATAGATCAGTTGGACGAGATCTTTTAAGAATCCTCTCTTTTGTTGAGATGAATGCTATCGGTCTGCGTAAGATATTGAAGAAGTTTGACAAGCGGTTTGGTTATAGATTTACTGACTACTACGTCAAAACTCGTGCAAATCATCCTTATTCCCAGCTACGCCAAGTTTGCAAGCAAGTGGTAATGGGCTAAATTTGTTCTCATTTCTTTTTTCTTTTCCCTCTTAGCCGCACCTTACGAATTTTTTGGTACACTATAATATCAGTACAAAAAGTAGCTTCTACTATCTTTATAATTGAATACAAGCATCATCAGCTAAAAGCTTAATATGCAGGGTGTTGGGGCCGTTGTTGGAGCCATATCTCGAAACCTGGCGGACCTTCAAGATTTTCAACAACATTATGGGAACTACATATCAATATATGATCAGCCTGCCTTTTCCCACCCGGTTTACTCTAATATCCATTGAAGTATTATATACAACATCAACACTCTCCTTCTAATCCATCTGATTGAATTTCATAATGTTTGTGCTAGCAGTTGAATTTTATTATGCTTGAAATTCGCAAGGCATAACATTTGATAATGGCTGCCTCTGCAATATGTTAATAGTTTTTAGAAATGAATATCAGGGAAAATTAATATTCTTATAGGATTCATTCATAATGTCAATCTGCTTTTAGAAGAGAATACGATTTTTTATGATCTTCTGCAACTACAGTTTTAATAATGTGTTTCTGTGTGCGCAAGTGCATTGGTATGAAAAAGCACTTTAATTTAGAGGTGTTAGCTTAGAAGATTTATTTACCCTCACACAATATCCGCCTCTATCAAGCTGAGTTTGAATTTAAGGATTCAAAAAATTTATACTTCAACTCTCTCTCTCTCTCTCTCTCTCTCTCTCTCTCTCTTGTACTTATCTATGTTGTTGAAGTTTAAACTTTGAAAAGTTTGTGACTCAAGTTGTTCATCTTGTTTAGTATTTCACATGATAGTTGCGGCACATTTTAGCTGGTTCACTTTGTACATTACAACTGACATCTAAATATCTAATGAATCTGATTTTACAGGATCCTGTCCTTGATTCTATCAGGGCAGCAGTAAACAGGTTATCAAACTCAACAAGTTTCCTTCATTATTTGGGAAAACATGCACTTCTTATGGGGGATGATTTACAAAGCCCATCTGAGGATCATGCTGATGACGGAAGATATCATTTCATGTCACTCCTCTTGAACTTGGCAAACACATTTCTGTATATGATTAATACATATATAATTGTCCCAACAGCTGACAATTACTCCATGACCCTCGGAGCTGCAGCAACCGTCTGTGGTGTTGTGATTGGATCAATGGCTGTTGCTCAGGTGTTCTCCTCAGTTTATTTCAGTGCATGGTCAAATAGATCATACATGAGACCACTGGTATTTAGCAGCATCATTCTTCTTGTGGGAAATACTTTGTATGCACTAGCTTATGATCTTAATTCAATATCAGTACTTCTGATTGGTCGACTATTCTGCGGGTAAGTGACTCTTTTATTGTGAGACTTACATTTGGTTGTGTAGATTAGCTGATTACGTTTGCATGCCAAACTTAATGTTGAGTGATATTATAGAATATTTTATGCAGAGTCTCTGTTTTCATGTCAGAACTTAGAGGTAGTGAATAGTCTATATTTGTTAGTGGTTAGGGTATATTTGTTCATTTTCCTTATGCTTTTCGGTGGATTTTCTTAAGCTTGACCTTTTGTTAACCTTTCTAATTTACTGGCGACTGGCGTAAATACTGATTGTTGTCAAATTCCATTCTGAATATTAATAAGCATATTTCTTGTGGGAAATACTTTGTATGCACTAGCTTATGATCTTAATTCAATATCAGTACTTCTGATTGGTCGACTATTCTGCGGGTAAGTGACTCTTTTATTGTGAGACTTACATTTGGTTGTGTAGATTAGCTGATTACGTTTGCATGCCAAACTTAATGTTGAGTGATATTATAGAATATTTTATGCAGAGTCTCTGTTTTCATGTCAGAACTTAGAGGTAGTGAATAGTCTATATTTGTTAGTGGTTAGGGTATATTTGTTCATTTTCCTTATGCTTTTCGGTGGATTTTCTTAAGCTTGACCTTTTGTTAACCTTTCTAATTTACTGGCGACTGGCGTAAATACTGATTGTTGTCAAATTCCATTCTGAATATTAATAAGCATATAAGCACATTTTGAGAAAGGGTAACCTGAATGGAGATTGAGGCAGCTTTTTAGAAATTGCACTGCACTGGAAATGCCCTGTTTTCTTGAAAATAAAGAATTGGAATCTCTACTATTAGGGTCTTTTTTTTTTGGGTCGGGTTCTACTATTAGTTTTGACACACATGAAATTGTATCATGAATTGTAAGAAGTTTCAAATATTAGTACGACTGTTTAAGATATGCGGCCACTCTGACAGTGGCAATGCAACACCAGATTTCAAAACTCTAGAAGACCACTATTTTAATATAGGTCCTGTAAAATTTCACCTTTTTTTTGTTCTAAAAGTGATGCTCCTTGGTTTCACATCCCCGAATCTATTGATAACATAGTTTGGCTTTACTCCAAATCTGCATATGGACTTGTTTTCAATTGTGTGAATGTGTGTATTGGTGATTATCCTTATTAAATATATCTTGTGGTGCAGTTCCTGCATTAGTACAAAGTTTAATATTCCTATCTTTGGATTTAGTATGTTCGTTTTACCTTATTAATATGGACAGTCATCTTATCAATTTTGCAGGTTAGGTTCTGCAAGAGCAGTTAATAGGCGTTATATCAGTGACTGTGTACCCCTTAAATTGCGAATGCAGGCTTCTGCTGGTTTTGTCAGTGCCGGTGCACTTGGAATGGCATGTGGGCCTGCTCTTGCTTGTTTACTCCAAACTAATTTCAAGATTTACAAATTGACATTCAACGAAGACACATTACCTGGTTGGATTATGGCTCTTGCATGGCTAATCTATTTGCTGTGGTTGTCGATTTCTTTTAAAGAGCCTTCTCATGTGACAACAGAAAATATTGTGCCACGGGAATCTAATTCTGGTTTGTAAACAAGATTTCTTAGTTCTTTTCAATAGACTGTTTGTTTTTTCCAGATGATGTCCCATTTTATATTTAAAAAAATTATGATCCTTTATCTTTTCACACTAATGTTCATTCTTGTCACCTCTTATGGCACACAATTTCTTCACTATTCATGTGGAGTTTGTTTGAAACAGGGAAAATTGTAAATATTTCTGTGGAGAATGGTCCTACACAACCATTGCTGTCAAACTCCAAAGCTAAGCAAAAATATGGAGATGGAGACACTGATTGTGATGATGCTGAAGAAGATCCTGCGGAAATCCAAAAACCAGTCAATTCAATTGTGTCAGCATATAGATTACTAACCCCATCAGTGAAGGTATAGAGTATTTCGTAAGAATCTAATATTTTTATACAGAAATCAAAAAGTTCTCTATGAAGATCCACCTTTTAAACTTACACACCAACACTTTAGAGACAAAGCAGTCTCTTACTTGTAGTTGAAGTCTTCATCCATCAAGGGATATAGAGGGAGGAGCGTTCACTAAATACACTTTAGATGACTGATTGTTGTTGGTGGCACTAAATTGCATATCGGTTCTCTAAAACCATGGGAATAAAATTCGGATAATTCATTAAGAGAACCCATTATATCATTAACATCGCTGAAATCAGAAAATTATATTGTTACCCAAAAAATAAATCTGAAAACTATATGTACTATGTAGGTTCACATGATTAAGGCATTTTGTATATTTGGAAGCAAATCTGTTTAGGTTTATGAATAGAATATAGCACTATGATGTTGTAACTGTACACTCTTACGTCATCTCAGCACATTTCACTCCGATTTTCTTAGCTGCGCTTCATCCATTTCCCCTTTTTTTTACCAGCTCTCAAGCTTGCTTTAGTTAGTAGGACCATCTATTACTGGCGTTTAGATCTTTCATCTCATTCGAACTTGTTCCTGCATTCTTCATGACATCTTACTTGAATCTTGCTAATTCTCACCAGGTTCAACTGTATATCTATTTTATGCTGAAATATGCAATGGAGATTGTACTTGCTGAATCCAGTGTCATCACTGGATATTACTTTATTTGGTCGACTAGCAGTGTGGCAATCTTTCTTGCATGTCTCGGGCTAACGGTGCTTCCAGTCAACGTTGTCGTTGGAAGCTACATCAGCAACATGTTTGAAGAAAGGTGGACCTTCAAGTATGAAATTCACTATATTATCTGCTATATATTAACTCACCAGCTGATGCATATTTCTTCTCTTTGCTGACCTGATTGCAGGCAAGTTCTACTGGCATCTGAAATTCTGGTATGCATAGGTATACTACTAAGCTTCCACGTATTGATCCCTTACTCTGTGCCTCAGTATGTCAGCTCAGCCCTTATAACATTCGTGTCAGCTGAAGTCCTAGAAGGTAATTCAATATATAGTTGTGGAAGGACAATTAACTTCTTGTATATCTTTTTAAGCATTTTAAAGTTTAGCTCTGAAACCCCCATTTTTTTTCTCCGTATTTTAAGTTACATATATCAAATTTTGTGCTCAACTTTTGATTTGCTTCCTCAACATGAAAAAGATGACAGTTTCTGTACTGATCCAGGTGTAAATTTATCACTCCTATCTCGAGTCATGTCATCGAGGCTTTCTCGTGGGACTTACAATGGCGGACTGCTTTCAACCGAAGCAGGGACCCTAGCTCGAGTAATCGCAGATGGAACAATAACACTAGCTGGGTTTTGGGGTGAGAGCAAGCTCTTGAATACCACCCTGGTTCCTGCATTGTTCATCTGCGTCTCATCCATTGTTGCCACCTGCTTCACCTACAACTCTCTCTACTGATTTCCATTCCTTCTCTGTGTATAGTGTTGCTAAGTGAAACTAGACTCGCTCAATATAAATCAATGCCAACAATGCTTTTTCCTTGCTGGTTTTCAGATCATTTCAATGAAAATGAGAAATTGAGCCTTTTGCAATTTAGTAACACAGCAGACTTTAGATATGCCTAAGTTTTCATGGTTTCATTTGGCATTCGCCAAGCCATTAAAGAATTTCGATGGGGAAGCTTTGTTAAGGATCAACAATTGATTAGAACAGTCAACAAAATTACAAACGTTACCAATTGGATGTCATAGCAATAATGCAGATATAGTTTTGTGAGAATTTTGGACCTGACAAATAAGAGCGTTTGTCTCCTTCAAAAAAATAACGAGTCTAACAAGCATATCAATAATTTAAGGTTGGGCCAACTCTAGTGGTTAGTAAGTTTAACCCGATATTAAGAACATTAACTTCATGTGATGCGTGTGAATTATACTGTCAATTGTTCAATGACTAATAATTATTCATATGCACGTAAATGAGTGTTCAAAAGCAAAACACAACGCATTTTCAATAATTTAAAGCATAGACGAATACTATAATTAAGAATAATATTTTACCTAAATACGATGGTTAGTATATAAGAAAAAATCTTAACGAGAAATTAATGTCAGTGTCACCAATTCACTCAAATTATAATTCATATGTAAGGGTAATTCTATATGAACCCCATTATTTGCTCTTTACACCCCATAATTTTTGTACACCTCACTGAATTTTAATAAAATTTCAAATTACTCATTATACCCCATTTTTTTCCCTAAATTGCCCTCATGAACCTCATTCCCTAACTAACTATGTAAACCCCATCCCATATCAGACACCACCCATCGAAAATCCTCATCCCTTTCAGACACACCCCATCTGATATCAAACCCCAACCCATCTCATATTAAGCCCCACCCCATCGAAAATTCCCTCCTCTTGCAGACTCACCCCATTGCACACCTTATCAGATTTACAAGCAGCTCCATCGCACACCCCATCCCCTTTGAAACACAGCAATCGCACAACCCATCTCTGCAAACCACCGAACCCCATCGCATAACCTATCTCTACAAACCTAAACCCATTGCACAACCCATCACTGAAACAGAGCTATCACACCCCACAGCCAACCCCAAACACCTCAACCCGTCGCAAACCACTATCGCCTCAACCATCTCACAACCAATCTGTCAAGTTTTCACAAATCCTTCGAAGAGCCAAGGTATAATTTCAATTTTGATTCCTATATTTACGTTTCTAAGTGTTGATTAAGCCTAGGTTTGATTTCACTTTTGAAAAGCCAAAGTCTGATTTAAATTTTTTATTTGAACTTTTTGGGTGTATGGTTCTGTTGAGGCCCAAAAAAGTCACGAGAAGCCCAAAGACATTTAAAGCCCAATATAACACAAAATGTTGGTCATGCGTTAATCCAAGCTGTATTTTGGGAATTAATTCATTAAATAAATAATAGTGTCCATGCCATGCGAAGCCAATAATACATTTTTTCATTTGTCAATCACCTATCGAGCTCACATGAACCCAAGTCATGTGGTTTACGGGGTTTGCACGAGGGATTGTGGTGTGGAAGGTTACGGAGGTTCACAAGGCCCACGAAAACTCTTGGATAATGGAGATTTTGGGCTAGCTACTTGGGAGCACCAAAGTCCAAGCCCATTACTTAGAGTCCTCCAATGTGGGTAAGCAAATGAGATATTTTTCAAGCATTTCCTTTTATCCATAGGAAATAGTCATTTTCCAAATGTCTAGCTTTACCCGTTGGAAATAAGCCTTTTCCAGCACTCTCTATTACCCATTGAAAACAAGCCAATTCCGACACTTCCCTTTACTCGTTAGAAATAGTCATTTTCCAATGCTTCTTTTCAGCACTCTCTATTACCCATTGAAAACAAGCCAATTCCGACACTTCCCTTTACTCGTTAGAAATAGTCATTTTCCAATGCTTAGCTTTACTCGTTGGAAATAAGAATGTCCCAATGCTCCCTTTTACCCATAGGAAATAGACTAGCTCCAATACTTCCTTTTACCTATTGGAGATAAAGGAAAACCCTCACCATATATAAATTTGGAGGCATTTGTCCAGCCAAAATCAACCATCTCTTGGTTACTGCAAGCCTCCCAGCAACCATGAGAACTCATCTTCCTTCCTCTTTTTGGCTACTGCATTCCAGCAGCCATCCCAGCCATCAACCTCCATATTTTGGCTGCTGCAAGCATCCCAGCGACTGTCAACCAACATCTCTTGGTTGCTCAAGCACCCAACAACCGTCGAACCACTTTTCTTCCACCCTTTGGCTGCTGCAAGCATTCCAGCAGCCATCACAGCCATCCTAGCCATCCCAGCCATTCTTCAACCATCACAACCGAGATTTTCCTTCCTCCTCATATCCTTCCAAGCTTTAAATACCATAGCCTTCAAGCCTCAAGCTTTTCCTCCCATTATTCTTCTCTTGAAACTCTTAAATCCATAAAGTCTCACCAAACATAACTCCAAGCTTTCCCTTCCTTCCAAGCTATAAACACCATAGCCACAAACAACAAATTATCAACACTCAAACTCAAGCATATCCAACTCCAAGCCAAGCACATGCATTCTCATTGGCTAAACTTGTGGATCTTTAGCTCCCACACTCCAAGCTCTCATGCCAAGCTCATATAATTTCATATCAACATCAGCAAGTCATCTTTAACTTTTCGTCAAGCTGCCGAAAATATCAGCAAGTCATCTTCAACTCTTCGTCAAGCTTCCAGAAACGTCAGCACCAAACACGCAGCCGCTAGAAGAAGAACAGAGTACTCCCCTGAGACATGCTTCTCCCTCGGGATGCTTTGGGCCTAGTCCTCGCTAACTCAGAAAAAGGGGCAACAAAAGCTTGATCCACCACTGTATGGCGGTCCGAGAATCAACAAGCCCGGACGAGCATTTCAACGGAAAAAGACCCCAACAGGTTCGAACTTGGTTTTACGAAACTGGATTTTAGTTTCGATGGTTTATCACCGAATTGGTTACATTGCTTCAGTGGTAGTCCACCGAATTTGAACCTGATTTGTACTAAAATTAGTTTTACTTTCAATATGTTACCACCGAAATCGTTACCTTTTATCGGTGGAAGTCTACCGAATTTATTTCATTTTTTCAGGAGATTCCCACCGAATGTATTTCGGTTGTTCAGTGGTACTTCATCGAATATGTTTTCTTTTTTTAGTGATAGTCCACCGAATTTGTTTTCGTTTTTTAGTGATCATCTACCGAATCCGTCACTATTTGCATCCAACGTTATATCAATTGTCTCACTAGACTTGCAAGACTTATAATTACCGCTCCTCTCACAAGCAAGTATTACTCGAGGTCTTCTCTTGCCCTCACCTCCATAATCAGACCTGTTAATTACAATGATAATATTATTTATTTTTCTTTGTGCACGAGTCCATCTAAGTAATGCATCTCTATCATTGAATATCTATACATAAAACTCATGTTATATAAAGAGAAAATTTGAAACATTAATGCCACATTAATAATACTAAAAATGATTTCAGGAAAAGAAAAAAAAACTCAAAATAATTGCCGAATAAGTTGTGAATTGATCACTATAGTCCATTACACATTATTGCCTTCAGTAGGGGCGTTACCTTGTTTTTGTTCCTTTAATGAGAGTAAGATCAAAATAGGTTGCATTAAATTTGTGGTCGACAATAAGTTACTGAAAAAGTAAATAAATTTCGGTTTGTTGCCACCGAAACGCAGGCAAAATTTCGGTAATAAACCACTGAAAAAAGTTCCATATTACGGTGAATCTCCATCGAATATTAAGTTCATGATCGATCAGACACGACCGAAATAGGTGCAACATTTTGGTGGCATCCCACCGAATTTACCTATCGCGTTCGGTACTGATATGCTGAACGCAACCAACGACCAACCCTAAACCCTAAACTTGCAAAACGCCAAAAAATAAACTCATACCTCATTCAAAGCCTCTCTAACTTCAATCTCACCCTTCATGAATAAATATAAGATATTTTTTCACCAATATAAACGTATAAATCTTGTTAGAGTTGTAGGAACATGATGGTTTGAGAAAAAAGTCAAACTAGAGTTGCATGAACATATGTGAGGTGTAGTGAATAATTTAATTTTTAATTTTTAATTTTTTTGTCCTTAACAGCAATTATGTACAAGAATAAAATAGGTTATTCATGTTTAAAATTAATATGGGGTGTAAAGAGCAAATAATGGGAACATGATGGTTTGAGAAAAAAGTTAAACTAGGGTTGCATGAACATATGTTAGGTGTAGTGAATAATTTTATTTTTATTTTTTAATTTTTTTGTCCTTAACAGCAATTATGTACAAGAGTAAAATAAGTTATTCATGTTTAAAATTAATATGGGGTGCAAAGAGCAAATAATGGGATGCCGGGTGCCAATAAAATCACCCCATATATAACTACACCACCTCAAATATGACAGATAAATTTCTCTGTAAATGAGGTTTTTTTTTTTCTGCCATGTCAGCATAACACAAGTTTTTTCGAGGAACGTGGGCTCAAAACCCGACCCAAAATTAGCACGGCAGTACGTCCTTGAGTTCGACTCTTTCACTGTCGAACTGTTTCTTTTTCTCTCTCTAGATTTCTGGGTTCCAACTGTTTAGTCTTTAGAGAAAGATAGAGAGAGAGTAAACGGTGCTCTGTGAATAAATGGCGGCAGCTGATTTACCGGAGGGGACTCTTCAGAACGTACTGGAGCAAGACAGCCTCAAGTGGGTTTTTGTTGGTGGGAAAGGTGGTGTAGGCAAAACGACCTGTAGCTCGATTCTCTCGATCCTTCTCTCCAGGGTCAGATCCTCTGTTTTGATCATCTCAACCGACCCTGCTCACAATCTCAGCGATGCTTTTCAACAGAAGTTCACCAAGACTCCAACTTTGGTTAATGGGTTCACCAATCTGTATGCTATGGTACGCTTTTTGATTCACAATTTTGTCTCTTCTCTATTATTTGTACTGGTTAATTGTTATTGTTTTCGGTTATTTTTTGGTTTTTTCTGGTGGAATTTTGGGTTTTTGATGAATTTGGGAATTACCCAGTTGTTGGATATATTGGTTTGATTGATTATGATGGATGTTTCTTAGAATTTGGTTCTGTTTGATGAAGTTAGGGATTCCCAGTTCATAGGTTCTGTGTTTTGTTTCAGTTCTGTGAACAATTTGTTTTTGAATTTGATTTGTTTTCTGAAAGTAGAGCCAATTCGTCATTGCCTTGCTGAGTCTTTTCCTCTTTACCCATGGTTGACATTTGTATTTATTATTAAAAATCTCGATATGCTTGCTTGTGCGTGTGTGTGTGTGTGGATTTCATTATGTGCAGTCTCATTATTTGGTTATGATCCTCCATAGGAAGTGGATCCTACTGTTGAGCATGAAGACATGGGAACAGATGGAATGGACAATTTGTTTTCTGAGCTAGCAAATGCCATTCCAGGAATTGATGAAGCCATGAGCTTTGCAGAGATGCTCAAGTAAGATTTATATTCCTTTATCTTTATTTCTTTGCAATTCACACTTGCTCTTTACTATCTGGGTAGAGTTCCTTGCATATGCTACTTATTTTATATTTTACCAACCATCGTTCTAAATCATTTGTGTAAATTATTCCCTGCAGATTGGTCCAAACAATGGATTATTCGGTTATAGTATTTGACACTGCACCAACTGGCCATACACTTCGGCTGTTGCAGTTTCCATCAACCTTGGAGAAAGGTCTGGCAAAAGTGATGTCTTTGAAAAATAAATTCGGTGGTTTAATGAGTCAGGTATTTATCGTTGAACCCTTTTGTTGTATCTTCCCTTGCATGCAAACATTTGTGAGTTAAGACACGAGTGGAATCTTTACTTTCTTGTCCGAGTTCTGTAAGCTTATAATTGTTCAGTTACAACTGTTTCTATGCTGATGGTATCAAGTGTTTGAAAATTGATCGAGGCAGATGACCCGCCTCTTTGGTGTTGATGATGAATTTGGAGAGGATGCAATTCTGGGAAAGCTCGAGGGCATGAAAGATGTGATTGAACAAGTTAACAGGCAATTCAAAGACCCAGTAAGTCTCCCCATTCATTTGCCTTTTTCTGTTGACTGTATTGTTGATTTTGGTGAGGATGACTATTGTACGGTAACAAATATGTTTTGGATCAGAGTAAAGCAGCAACAAGTAAATAATTTAAAAAAAGAAGAATGAAGTATTTCCTTGTTTGGGTTTTGGTTTTTAAAAGAAAGAAAGTATTTTTTCCACTTATTTAGGTAGAAGCTAAACCCTTTTGTTTCCTTCTTTATTATAAATCTAGAGTACTTTTACCACTGTCAGTTTGGAGAGGAGAATAAATTGTAGTACATTTCAGAATCTTAAGTGACTTGCCAAACGTCATCAATCCTGCTTGCAAACCAAATTGAATGTCCAAAGTTATAGGCATTTGTGGATGCACTCATATCTCACTTTTGGCAGGACTTGACAACCTTTGTCTGCGTTTGCATTCCAGAGTTCCTCTCTCTCTATGAAACAGAGAGACTGGTTCAGGAACTCACCAAATTTGAGATAGATACACACAATATTATCATTAACCAAGTACTTTATGACGAAGAAGGTATGCCTACTATGTCCATCGTGTCCTTTTACATGTTTTTGTGTGTAAATGCTCTGAGCAGGGTTTAACCATCTATCGGTAATTCTGATGTTGTAGGCTCAGAATCCAAATTACTCAAAGCAAGAATGCGAATGCAACAAAAGTACCTTGACCAGTTCTACATGTTGTATGATGACTTTAACATAACCAAGCTGCCATTGCTGCCGGAAGAGGTAAAACCATAGAGTGCCAAAATTTGAGAAAATGTTGACTTCTTATTCTGGGAAGGCGGGGGTTGATGATCGGTCTACTTTTACAGTGTGCTTCCCCGTACTTTCCATTTGAGTGATGATGGTGTTAAGTTTACTTCAAGATATCCCCTTTCTAACTGAAATTGTAGCAACTGTGACCCATCTAGCTAGAAAGAGGGCTATAGATGATGGAATTTTCCCATGATTCACCCACCTACGATTCCTTTTGTTCTCTGTAGTTCTTGAGGATTAATCCTTATTTTGGGTTTTAATTTTCTTCACAGTTATTAGGTGTGCTTAATCTTTTTGTTTAGTTATTTTGTAGTCAAATATTCGTATATTTTTTGGTAGAATATCCAACTAAAGATCTTTAAGGCCTCTTTAGTCTTTGATTTCATTCAAATTTGGTAATGTATTCTTATTCAATGGGAGAAATTTTCGGTGGAACTCTGCAAATGAGTCTAATTTTTTGTTGTGGTGTATGCTATGATTAAATCCAACTCTGTTATAATTTGTCATTGTATATGCAATATTACAATCATTGGTTGCTTATTATTCATCAACCCTTTGGAGGAATATTTCGGAGGAACTCTGCAAATGAGTCTAATTTTTTGTTGTGGTGTATGCTATGATTAAATCCAACTCTGTTATAATTTGTCGTTGTATATGCAATATTACAATCATTGGTTGCTTATTATTCATCAACCCTTTGATTAATGTGGAATTTGTAGGTTACCGGAGTTGAAGCTCTGAAAGCATTTTCACGTCATTTTCTGACACCATATCAACCTTCCGCCAGCGAAAGCACAGTGGAAGCGTTAGAGCAAAGGGTATCCACTCTAAGGCAGCAGTTGAAAGATGCTGAAGCACAACTAGAAAAACTAAGAAAAGGGAAGCAAAAGGTCTAATAATTCCATGTTCTCCGCTTTCTAGTTTAGCATCAGATGGCATCATCTCCCACCTTTGGGCTACCAGGAGAAGTGATTGATGCTTCAAGTTGTTTGCTTTATTTGATGAATTCTTTTCTGTCCTCTTAGAATCTTAGATCATGAAAACTGACATGTCTTCCACATTAATGTAATTTATTTCATTTAAGTTGATTCCGCAGTGAACAATTTATAGGAGAAACTCTTTTTTCTTTTTGCTGTCCTGATAGTTATGTCAGATTATGCAGCAATTTTGTTTTGGAAAGAATAGTAAATGGATTATTAGCTTGTATACATTGGATTCTGGTACCACTGTGGAATATGAATTGGCATTTTATGGAAATTTAATCTTTTTGCCTAGGTGAGATTATGCCTCACTATTAAATTTGCTTTTACAATTTCACAATTTGAACCATGGTAGTGATCCTTGCAAAATACTATGTTAAACAATGTTGATGTGCTCTACTATGTAACTTCTAAATCTGGTTTCTGTTCTATTAAACGCCAGTATTAAAGATGAATTTTTTGTAGTTAGAATGCCTATGCAGGACAGGTAATGGAAGGAAACCCATTTCCTTGAGAAGAACTGGTTCAGATCCCTGGATTTGAAAGTTCACTTATTTGTTTGCTGCTATCGGGATATGATATGACGAAAACTTATATATGGTTGCCTGATTTTCTTGCTAAATTAAGCTGGTTTGTAGTAATCCTTACAAGTTTTTGTAATGTGAACAAGTTTTCTGTTATAAATTAGAAGCATCACTTCGTTGTAGAGAAAATATCAGCCATAATCTTAACATGATATTCCAACTCTTATTCCGGGTTGTCAAACAGGCGGAGGGTGCCGTGTGCTAACATATGTCGATATGATGTCGATATTATCCACATTATATGGATAGCAAATAGCGCAACATACTCTTGATATGGCATAAATAAAGTATCAATATGGTACATAGTGTCAATTTACTATTAAAAACACTGTTACATTAATAGTTCTTTTTGGGATTTTTTGTCCTCTAAAAGAATTGAAAATGCCGATCACATGGTGAAGTCTATTCACTATGTTTGCATGACATGTTCTACAAAGTGTGTTGCAGGAAGTATTCACAATTGTTGGGACTGCAATATCCTCTATATATATTGTACAAAAGAATCTTATGTACCGCAGAGTATTGTTTTATGAATGTAAAGCTTGGTATTTCAATAAATGATTGAGTTATTGGAGGGAATTAAAGAGTTTATGGGTTAGGGTTACCTACTGTAGACGTCCTTGAACTTTGCCCCCAGTTGCAATTGGGACCATGAACTTTTTTTCGTGCCAATTACATCCTTTAAATGGACAAACAATTGCAATTAAGTCATACCGTAACAGAATTCGTCAAGTTTGACCGTGTGAATGGCACGTGCTCTTGTTGTGAGGGGTGTATTCGAGTTTTCGTCGTTTCGAACGAAACAAAATCCAATTCAGTGCTGGAGAGAGGAGGAAAGCAGTTTTCCATCTTCTATAGAGTCCTGAATCACGGTACTCGGTAGCACAAAAGGGTATTGTTCTTGTTTTCTCAAGGTCCGTAAAAGCATGCATTGAAAAAGGGCGAGACTCAAGCTTAAATAAAGGATCATCTCTTACTGCACGGCTTGTAGTCCCATCAAACCAAGTTGGTTGTTTGCTGGGAAAAGAGGTGTAATAGTTTCAGAGACTCAGAAGGTAACTGGTACTGGTATACGAATAATAGGCGGTGACCAGGTCCCAAAGTGCGCCTTAGAGAATGATGACGTTGTACAAGTGTGGTTTTATCACATTCTTTAAGGAAAGCATTGTAATTATATTTCATTTAGTCCCATTTAGTGAAATTTGGTATATTCGGCGACCTAAAGTTGATATGTGAACTTGCAAACTTCTCTTATATTTAGTTATAATTTGTTCCACAGATTTCAGGAGATTTTTCAAGTTTGCAAGATGCTTTGTACAATATTACTGGTAGATTACGAGATAACCTTTTCTCCAGCACAGTAAATAATTCTGGAAGAAGGAGCAGTCCATCCATGCTAACTGATACCATTCCTTATGGAAGACTAAGGGATCCTCCTCCTATTGGATTTCAGTCATCATCATCAGTTGGTGTTAATCATGGTCTCAGTCGACATACAACTCTAACTCAAAGTATGGATCATCTTGGACTTTCTCATAGTTTAGATCATCCTTCCTCCTCACCAAGGCCGTGGGCATCACAAGTAAGTCTCTCTCTCTCTCTTGGTCTTTTTGTTGTTGTTGATATATTGATCGGATTGCAGATGGTAGCTTCAAGGGGCATCACCGATACTGGCAGGGGTTTGACTTCTCTTAAAAGTGGCACAGAACTTGGCAGGTTAGAAAATTATGAGATCTGGCACAGAACTTGACCAAAAGAAAAAAGCGAAGGAAGGAGAGTCTTTAGACTCAAAAGGACGCTTTTACCCATCATTTTGACAGACAAATTGACGGATTTGGATGGCAGGACCTAATTGCAATTGTTTGTCCAGTTAAAGGATGTAATTGGCACGAAAAAAAATTCACGGACCCAATTGCAACTGAGGGCCAAGTTCAGGGACGTCTACAGTAGATAACCCTATGGGTTATGGTGTTTCGTCATGAGATTGACCTAGAGACTATAAGAGTAATTCGATAAGTTCATTATAATTCAGTACTCTGATCAACAATACATGTTGCTAGTACATGTATATCAATATTTACATGAATTCATCAATGTCAACATTTTACTTCGTGATGAGAATAGAATCCGATTGATTATTATCATAAGGTATATGATGCCATCTAGATTCCACAATTGTACCCTCTGTCAAATTGGAGATTGTGTTGAGAAGAATATTTCTCTATGTATTGATAGAGCCAGAAGGCTAAATATTTATAGAAAGATTTACAAACCCTACAAGGAATCCTAGGTTTACTTGGAGACTACTCCTAAATCAATTACAATCAATTACATAAAAGGAAATAAAGAAACTTCCTAATTTCCAACACTCCCTCTCAAGTTGGAGCGTGGATATCAAGAATGCCCAACTTGCATACAAGATTGTTAAAAACATTACTTCCAAGGGCTTTTGTGAACAAATCTGCTAATTGTGACGTGGATGGAACAAAGGAGGTAGCAATCTGTCCAGCTTGTATCTTCTCTCGAACCACATGACAATCAATCTCAATGTGTTTCGTGCGTTCGTGGTAAACGAGATTGGCGGCAATATGAAGGGCTGCTTGGTTGTCACATAACAACTTTGCATGACCTAAATTGGTAACTTGTAGATCTTTCAAAAGATATCGCAACCAAGTCAGCTCACAAGTAGCAACAGCCATGGAACGATATTCTACTTCAGCAGATGAATGAGATACCGTTTTATGTTTCTTTGTCTTCCAGGATATGAGTGAATTCCCAAGAAAAACACAGTAGCCTGAAGTGGATCTTCTTGTCATGGGGCAGTTTGCCCAATTAGAATCACAATAACCTATCAAATGCAACTTTCTGTTTGAAGAGAAAAGTAATCGTTGACATGGACTACCTTTCAGATAACGAAGAATACGTAAAGCGGCATCCAAATATGGTTTCCTCGGTTGATGCATAAATTGGCTCAGAATGTTGACTGCATAAGTAATCTCTGGTCGAGTGATTGTAAGGTAGATTAAGCTTCCCACCAATAGTCTAAACCGCGAAGGATCATTGAGCACTTCACCATCACTGTTTGTGAGCTTCAAGTTTTGCTCCATAGGAAAGTCTACTAGTTGAGCACCTAGAAGACCTACATCATCAAGTATATCAAATGTGTACTTTCGTTGGGAGATCACAATTCCCGTCTTTGATCTTGCAATTTCTAGCCCAAGAAAATACTTCAAATGTCCCAAATCTTTAATGTGAAACTGATTGTGAAGAAAAGACTTCAAGTTATGTATAACATTCTCATCATTGCCTGTGATCACCATGTCATCAATATAGATTAAAACAACAGTAAATGATGTACCACAAGTACGAGTGAAGAGAGAATAATTTGAGAGAGATTATGTAAATCCTGCTTTCTGAATGGCAACAAAATACTTGTGAAACCAATTGTGAGGAGCTTGTTTGAGACCATAAAGGGACTTGTGCAGTTGACAAACCAAAGTACTCTTCCTCTATCGACAAAGGCCTGGAGGAGGGGTCATGTAAACTTCTTCATGAAGATCACCATGGAGAAAGGCATTGTTAACATCTATCTGATAATAGGTCACTGATGAACAGAAGCAATGGCTAGTACACAACGAACAGTGACCAATTTCACAACAGTAGCAAAGGTTTCCGTAAAATCAAGGCCTTCTCGTTGAGTAAGCCTTGGGAAACAAGACGAGCTTTGTAACGCTCAATAGAACCATCAGAATTGTACTTAATCTGATACACCCACCGACTACTAATTGCACACTTGCCAGATGGGAGTGAAACCAATGACCAAGTGTTTTGTTGGGCAAGCGCCTGTAGTTCGGCATCCATAGCGGTACGCCAGTGAGGGTCGAGTGAAGCGCATAAGAAGTGGGCTCAACAACACTTGAATTTTAGTTAACAAAAGCTTTGTGTGAAGGAGATAAAGAGATGTAAGAAAATGTAATTGGACAAGGGAAACTGTGTACCTGACTTCTTGGAAGATGATGGCCCATTTGTAGCTTGATTGCAATGAAAATCACGTAAGAGAATGGATGGTTGAGAGACACGTTGGCTACGACGAAGTGATGGAGAGGTTGGGACGTTTTCTGGGGAAGGAGAGTCAGAAGGCTAAGTATTTATAGAAAGATTTACAAACCCTATGAGGAATCCTAGGTTTACTTGGAGACTACTCCTAAATCAATTACAATCAATTACAGAAAAGGAAATAAAGAAACTTCCTAATTTCCAACACCCTTAGTATATTTTTGGCTGGGGAGGTTGATGATATGGGGCTGAAGAGAGAATGCTGGACTATTTTTTTCTTTTCCTGAAAGAATCTTAGTATGTTTGCGTTGTGTTCAAGAAATGATTCACAATCTTTGGAACCATAATATCCTCCCTATACGTAGTTTTATGAAGGTAAAGGTTCACATTATGAAACATGTTGCATGATGGAAAATATCTGTGCAATCTACTGTGTTTTTACAAATATTTTTTCTTTTGTTAAATACATTTAATTGAATCAATTGGTCATGCTACCAATCACAATTTATTTATTATTATTTTTTATTTTTTATTTTTTGCTAAAAGAAACAATTTCCTTAAACAAACACATCTTTTTATATTTGGATGCATAAACAATCGAACCCATTCACTTTGTGCAAAATTAAAAGAAATGGATTGTGATAGAAACAATAAGAGTTAGCCTGTGAAAATATGCTGCTGAACTATATCAATTATGGTTAACCAACGGAATGACATAATGAAGCTACTAGAATTCTTTGGAAAATAACTGGGTTTCTGGAACAATATGATATCATAATTATAGAATATATTCTAACATGTCCAACCATTTGCCTGAAAAAACAATTGTAAGAGAGAGAATATCATCTTATAAAACCCGTCATTAAAACTCCTCAAAAGTTAGTACAAGTATATTTGTTTAGCAGATGGTAAACTATGAACAGTTAGAATTGTATGGCACATTTTCGACTAGTATCATGGATTCAACGGATTCAACACTGCCTGATCTCCCAATATGCCAGATTGAGATCGACGGCCAACAAATTTCTCAGGAGTATCCTATCATTTCAAGAATCAAGAATTTGCATGGAGTTTTGCAACGAGTGTTTTTTCCTTCCTGCTGGTTATGGTTTATAACATCGACTAGCGAACCAACATCTCTGCAGCAACTTGCTGCCAACGAAATTGCTACTGATGTACATTAACCCACAATTGCAGCTGCATGATGAAGTATAATCAGCAAAGAAAAAGAAAAAAGGCAGAGAGAAAGAGATAGATCAATATGCGCTGTATCTTACACTGGGTGGAAAGGGACTTAATAGGGGAGGGTATTTCCAACCCATTCAACTTGAAACTATTCAGTGAATGCAAAACTACCTGCTACTTCTAAAATACTGGTTTTATAATGAAATACTAATAAGTGAAATTTTACTAAGAGCATTGTGCACCCTGTGTGTATGTTATTGCAATATTAGTTCACCCCGAGTGTATGTTCTGGTATTTTGGGGTGGGATGTAGATCTTTGTTATTATTATGTCAACTTCCTTGTTTCCAAACCCTCATACTGATCAGGATTCATAACTCTGCTAAAATCTTTAAATTCTCACATAATTGGAACGAACATATTAGATATGCCTATTACTTTCAAGACTACCATTTGCAACAATTTGCTAGTGTTATAGCAAATAGACATGACAAATTACTAAGCACGCCATAAATACAACTATTTAATCAAAAAAAACATACTTCAAGTTGGAAGTGAAGACATCTGAATTTCGTCCCCCAACATCCCATTTGATAGATCTGAAGTTTGAAAAGAATCTTTTCTACCACGTTCCAAAGAAGTTGCCTCATATATCCCTACAAGTGTTATTCAAATTTATACACAAGTTATGCAAAATTAATAATTAAAAGTAGAACATAATAAATCATTATTAATAATAATGCAGATGTGCAAAAATTAAATGAATAAATTAACAGATTAATCAATAAATAAATAAATAAATCGCATCCATAAGAAGCAGTAATCTACACATCTTTCATTTTCAGTAAAATTGTACGGAAGACATGATACAATAATAGAGATGAGTAAAACGTTAATCACAATCTCAATCACAACATGACATTGGAAATAATAAATATTACACACATACCAAAGCCCAGAATTAAGCAACAAATTAGGAAGCCTGGAAGAGAAAAGTCCATATTGTACACGATCTCCATGACGATTATGCATCCTCCAGCTACCATTAAATGCCTTGGAGAAGAGAAAACCATGTGTAATCTACAACACATTGAGAGCAATAATGATCAAACTTGAAATATATGAAATGATCTAAAAACATTAAGTAAAACATTTCCAAGTGTTAGACAAAACTGCATAGAAAAGTTGTGATATATTACCTCTCTTCCGCGATACTATCAACATAGAATATCAAGATTACTCCAAAAAGAATGGTGCTCAAAAAAGCCCAAGTGGAAAATGGCACCTTGTCACTGGTACTTGAAGGTGATCCCTAAGTGCTCCAAAAAATCAACAGGAAAAATTACAAGTGAAAGAAAAAGTGGGAGGGGGCAAATAAAGAACAAATCAGACATTAAACAAGGCAAGCCCCAAACTAGAGTCACTCCAAAAATGTAAATCTAATCAAATTCGGCCTAGGACTGCTTATCATGTCATATAACTTACTATGATCATGTCCCACATGGCCACAGGAAACAGGAAACATGTTGCAGAAGCAATAGTTATTGCATTAAGTCGCCTTTTAAGTTGATTCTGAAAGCACAGGAAGGGTACAATCAGCAGCAATGATTTTTTAACTGTTTTAATCAATTGAAAAATAAACAGCAATTTATTACTTGGTATGCTTAGAGCAAAAGAGTATGAACAAGATAACTGAAGATGGACGAATATCAGCAATTCATCACCTTGAGTGAAACACGCCGCGCAATCACCCTCCTCAGTGCTGATAAGATTCCAGCAAAGATTGGAAGTACCATCTCTTTTATACCCAACACTTGTTCTGTCTGAACCTCATCATCGAGGCTATCTTTAAATGGTAATTTCAGGTTAAGTCACAATAAAACGCTTAAAAAAATTATCACTGTGTCCAAAAGAGACACACACAAAATAAAGACGAGGAAAAATGATATGGAAGAATGGGACGAAGGAATAATAATAATAATAATAATAAAACACCAGTAACTAATCCTATACAGTAGTGAAAGAACAACAGTTTCGATAAGAGAGGATATAGAATGGAGAATATGTTGCCATGGCCCACCCTTGAGATAAGAAGTAGAAAGATGCCACCATTGCAATAAGCCCACCTACCTGGTAAAAGATGAAGCAACATCCATGTGAGTAAACAAGAATTAGTTTTCTCCTATTTTTCCATTAAAATAATTGATATTAAGTCACCAATACTTTTGATCTGATACTTCTATTCCTCGGATAAATCTTTCCTAAAGCTTGAACACAGAAACGTCCATACACCAACCAGCCTAGATAGTGAAGTCCTTCCTAAACTACTATTTTATATAGCTAAATAAAACATTGTGGCATCTTATAATGAAATGAGAAAATGGCCTAGGACTTTACTGAAGACCTTCATTTAAAGAGAAACATGCTAACATAAAACCTTTGCTTATTTGCTCGGAGATAATGGCAGATAATTGATATGAAGAAAACAGTCTAAGCAAAGGACCAAGCATCTAATCAAGCTACCTTTTTCCAAATGTGGCCCTTGCGCCCATACAATACTCCAGACAGTACCCCAAGGACAGCACCAGAATACTCCGCTAATATAGCTCTAACATAATATGTAAAGATGAAAGAAAATCAGTTATAATTAACAAAAGAAATACTATTTGCTCAAATTAGGTTTAATCTGATATTGTCGCCATATGCTTATTGCTACTGGCTGACAGTTTCTAAAATTCAGTAGGAGCATATTGTAGCCAGCATATAATAGGGAGGGTGAGATACACATTTGTAAGTGCTTAGTAATGAGATTATTATACAATGGAAACTTATATAAACAGGCAGTTGTAAGTGTTTAGTATTAAGCCAAACCTACCTTAGAGGTCCACATGATTTGAGGCCTTTTCCCCATAAAACAAAATATAAAGCTGTTATGCCACCATTTATTATAGAAGGCACTACCTGAAAAAAACTGGAACACTCAAGAAGTATATAATCGGAATCACATAAATAAAATATGTTGATGCCTTTTTCATGTATTTTCTAATAAAAGAAAAAATATCACGGAACCTGTGTGTTTGAGAGTGGCCTGCCCTTCCAAGGCTTTTGCAAAATTAGAAATAGGATGGATGCTGGGATCAGACAAGTGAAGAGGAAAAGTACAACTGAAGCTCCCGTTTCAGATAAGTAGCGATACAGGGAGTAAATTGACCATATTCTTAAGAAATTGCCGATAATATGGATTATTTGCAAGGGTGTGTGCCTACATTGAAGTAAGATCATTGGTATAATTAGTTGCGCTCAACGAAGTAAAAAACACACGAAATACTCATCTTGCCCAAAAGAAAAAAGAAAAATATTGTGCTTACACGCTGACATATTAGGTACAAAATGATAAAGCTCAGGACTTCATAAGTCCTTCAATTATGGGGTTTTTTAATTTGGGTGGAAGGGGGTGAAAAGGAATTTTATTCCACCAACACCCAAACTGAAAACTAGGCCATCCAGCAACTACACGTCTTCCTCCAACATTGAACCTTAGCTCCTGAGGACAGCTTCTGTACTAGACCAGTTATTTTAATGCTCCTTATTAGTTATTACAAAGTGAAAACTTATAACTCCTTAACCTAGACCTAACCACAGAGAGAACCTCCATACAAATGCAATTCTCATCACTACTTTCTGATTTAAACATTTTGCCAAACCAGGCAGCTACTTGCCAACCAACAAAATTCGCAACTAGTTCATACTCAACCAACCCAGCTTAACAATTTGACTAAGCTAAATTTAGTTTTCTTCTATCTTATCTTTGTGTATCTATATTTATTCACTTAATCTATTACTCATACTCGTGAACCCTTCAGCAACAAGAACACTGAAACCCAAATTTCCTAGCAACGCAAACAAAACGAAAAACATTGCCAGTTTCATGAATTCCATAACCAGATATTTAACAGCATAAGATTTCATGCAATTTCCTTCCATTTGATTTCCACAATGTTTCTAGGGAACCAAACACAGCCCTAGGGTTTTAACATTCAAATCCTTGAAAATAAAAACAAAAAAATGCAAATGAATGAGATTGGCTTACCTGAAATGAGGAGAAGATCCTCGATCTTCAGGAATTTGCCTCGGAGACATCATTTTCGAAACAAATGCTTAATCGAAAAGTTGATTACAAAATTCAATCACTTGTGCATTTAATCGCTGATAATATGCTCCTCTACTGCTTCATAACTAACCCAAGAAGAAAGCAAACCTGGATAAAGCTTCTTCTCTACCGAGTTCAATTTCTTCAGTTGTTCAGTCTCTGTAATGATTTGGGGTTGTTGGGTCGATGAGCCCATGAACAGAGGCATAAGGCTTTCCTGGGGCCCGTTCTGTAAAAGCTCTGGCCTTTGGTCCCATGGTCAGGGTCGATTCATATTGGGCCCTTCCCTAATCTCCATTTTTTTTATGAGAACATTTGCTTGGGAATAAAAAGTAGGCACTCATTGTCTACTTTTTCCGAAAAAAAAAAATTCCAATC